GGGTGTCATCCTGCAAAACAAAGGGTTGCCGGTTCAATTCCCAATCTGGGCACATGCCTGGGTTGCAAGTTGGGTCCTCAGTCTGGGGGTGTGTGAGAGGCAGCCAATCGATGTTTTTCTCTCATATTGATGTTTCTTTTCATCTTTCTCCCTCCCTTCCCCTCTCGGTAAAGATAAGTAAATACAATCTTTAAAAAAAGAAAGAAAGATTGAAAATTCATACTCAAGAATGGACTATTTTTCCACCTAAGTGGTCAACGTGTGAGAAACAAGGAAAAAAGTAAAATCTGGGACCATATTTGGCATGTAAATTAGGGGGAAAATACCCCAATCATCATAAAAAGGCAACATCATTGATTCATGTGGTAATAGAATGCTTCTATATCTTGCTTGTGGTGACAGATACACAAATTATGACCTAAACACACAAACACACATGGATCCAAGTGAAAAGGGGGAAATCTGAATAAGACTGTGTATTGTTTTTACCATTGTAAATTGGGTAAAGTTTACATGGATCTCTCTGTGTTATTCTCTACAAACACGTGTGAATTTACAATCAGTTCAATAAAAATTTCAATTAAAAATGATAGCAACATAAAGATATTTTCAAACAAAAAAATCTATTAATCCTTCTTTGGATGCAGAGGGAGAAATTTAAGGCAATTTTTTCACAATTCTGCACTGGAATTTAGATTGATTTACACTTTTATGAATTTAGATTGATTATATTTATATAATAATTTGGAAAAAATAAAACCAACCAGACTCAAAACTAAGATAGCAGTTATTTAATTATACCTTGTGCAGTTTTTAGATGACAATTATTGTTGGTGCTTTCAGACATCTTGCATACTTATTAATTGGGAGGGGAAAATAAACATTTATTGAGCACTTCAAGTGTAAGTCATTGCTCAGGGGGCTTTACATAGTTCTCTGTTTCATGCTAATGAAGAGGCAGGCATTATTAGAATTATTAATACACTTTACAAATGGGGAAACCTAAGGATCAGAGTGTATAAGTACTTGTGCAAGGTCACAGAGTATTGGGATAAATCTATGTCCTACTTCCAAGCCTAAGCACTTTCCTACTATTTAGGGGCTGAAATACAGACAAAAGGACATTTAAAATATTGTTTCTGTCATTGGCTTGTCTGGTTGATCTCTACAGTATCTGTATCCAATATTTAGAAATTTGAATATAGTACTTTTATGGTAATTGGTGTGAATTATTTTGGCTCAGTAAAACATGTTTAAAATTTGTAGCAAGTTAGCTTTCTACAAAATATTTGCAAAAATAGTGTTAGATACTATTAGAAGACTTTAGGAAAGTTCCCTCAAACTTCAAAGAAAAAAAAAGCCAAATATACAAACATTAGGAAGAGGTTTATAATATTTGACTTTTATTGAGTGTTTACTGTATGTCAGGTACTATGTTATGTAACTTACAGGTTGTTCAAAATTTCACAACAAAATAGGGACAAAACCTGGGCTGTTCGACTCCCAAAGCCATACTTCTAAACCACTAGGCTAAGATGCTATAAAAATCTATCAAGTGAAAATAATGGGAGATAAGAAAAAGGGAACTTTACCCCAAAGTTCATCACAGCCCAAGATCAGTGACAGGATCACCATGTATAGTGGTTAGATGAGTTAACTAAGTTGTGTGAGTTGGGGATCTAAGTTGGGTCAATGTGCAAAGATCAATGGTTTCTTCAGGTCAGTCGTCTTCTACCCCGTTGTCTCATTTTATTTTCTTCATAGCTCATAAAATCTACAATTGTTTCATTACTTGTCTGTCACCTGCTCAACCTCACTAGAACATAAGTTCAATAAAATCAGGAATCTTGTCTTTCTTGTTCAATGATGAATTTCCAGTGTCTCAAGTTGCTCCTGACATGTAAGTATTTGTTTAATGGAAGCATAAGTGATCGGCCTTCCCTGGACTTAAATGGCTGGAGAAGAGGGGGAAATGAATATAAACTAGTATTGACAAGCCCTTAAGTCTGGGGGTGGGAGTTGAAGTGTTAGAAATTTGGAGGCCTAGGTTAGTGCCTGAAATTGGTGGGGGCCAGCTGGAGTAGGATAGAAACCATCACTTCTCCATTTGGTCTCAGAAGTTCTACCATCAAAAAAGGTTTATTGAGAGGAGGAGAAATCTATTTGGTTCACTTTTAATATGTGAATCACCTCACATCATGCATAGCTTTAATTAGAATGCAGAACTCTAGAAGCCTCCATTGAAATTAGTGCCAAGTGTATGCACATATTGAGCACTGGTCCACCTAGGTATTATGGATTCTTTTAGAGGAGTCATTACTGATGCTATTATAAACCTTGCTAGCCTTACATCATCTTCGAGTAGGATGTATATAAAGAAAGAACGTTGGAAGAAAAAGACAAAGAATAAAAATGAAAATAAAAATAAAGAAAGAGGTTGAGAAAAACAAAAATATCACATGGGAAGAACTAAAATAAGTAGGTAAAGTGAGGCATCTGCAGTATGGAGTGGGAAGGCAGCTCATTTTAATGAAACTGAGGAGTGTCAAGGGAAAAACTGTATCCTCTAAAATGGACTAGAGATACTTGTTAAACATGAGTCTTACAATAGAAGACTTTAGGCGGTTTGAAGTTTCAAGGAATGCAACATTTAGAAAAGAGGTTCTAAAACTATTTGGTTTCAATACCCCTTTACACTCTTAAAAATTAAGGACCCCCCAAAACTTTTATGTGTCTTACATAAATACTGATATTCATCATATTAGATATTAAAGAAATTTTACAAGTATTCGTTATTTTATTTAAAAACAGTAAACCAATTAAATGTTAACATAAAAGAATATTTTATATGAAAAGTGTTGATCCCTAAAAAGCATATACTACTGGTGTGGTGCAGTTGGTGGGAGTGTTGTCTTATAAGCTGAAAGCCTGCAGGTTTGATTTGTGGTTGGTGCACAAACCTGGGTTGCAGGTTCTGTCTTGGTCAGGGCTTGAGTGAGAAGCATCCAATGGAGTTTTCCTCTCATATTGGTGTTTTTCACATTGTTGTTTCTTTCCCTTCCTCTCTCTCTGTCCTTCCCCTTTTCTCTATAATCAATAAGCATGTCCTCTGGTGAGGATTAGAAAAAAAAAAAAAAAAAGGAAGACACTAACTAAGAAGGGCTCCAGGTGACTGTCACACAAAACTGATGCTAAAACTGCCTACCTCCCTCATTGAACTGCCTGTCTGTGGTTCTGAGCCAGTGTTTATAAAGGTGTTCCTGAAAGCCTATTTTAATCAATAAAACTGAGACTTTCCCCATCCAATCAGAGCTATGCAGCTAAAGCTTCATTAGCATCTTCACTGACCAATCAGAGCAGCTACCTTCTGACTAATTAGGACAGTGCTTTTTGGACCAATCAAGCTGTGAGGATTTGGAGTCCTCATTTGCATGAGGGGCTCAATCAGGGACCAGGGGCAGGGACTTTTCCTATACAAGTCAGATCCCCTGAAACTTTGCACACTTTTCCTTTCCACCAAAGAGTGAGGACTCTGGTTCTTCAACTGGAAATGAAACTTGGAAGATATTAGCAGAGCAGAGCAGGGCTTTCTATCTGGAGGGGGGCCTGATCTGTGCTGCTTCCTAACTGAGCTGTAATACTGTTGCAAAGCTCTACATGCTGTAGCAAAATTGACCTGTTTGCACCAAGTTTTCTTCTTCACCAAACCCCAAACTGGAGTCCTTCTTGCCTTGAATTAGCACCAAGTTTCATTGGCAACGACTTTACAAAACAAAAAAATTGAGTGGCAAGCTTTTACATTTTTGTAAATCTGTCTCCTTTAACAGCAGATGACTGCATCCTAACATCTGCTTCTGTTTTCAATGTTTCCATATCACATGTCATGTAGCCTCTGGAAAACACTGTGAGAGGATGAGAATGCAAAAAGCGAGTAACTTTTTAGTTAAGTACTTCTACAGGAATACTTTTAACCTCCTCAAGGAACACCTCCTCCTTGAAAGGGTCTGGGAACCAGGACCACACTTTAGGAACCACTGTTTTAGGAGTGACTATTAGTCGATCCAGCATCAATTGAAAAATAGCCATGCTGTTTCAGTCCTGAGGATTTATTTACATAGGATTTGCTTTTTCAGAAAGATGAAACATAACCACATTCACTATAAAGCATCCAGAGAATAAACAAATATGCCACCTTCATCCATCAGAAAAAAAAAATACTAAAGCAAAAATGAGGGACCATACGCCAAGTAAAAGGGTTTTGGAGTAGAGCTGGAGAACTCCCAGAACCAAGGAGACCCCCCCCCCCCCCCCTTTAGGAGAAGAAAACCGGTAGAAGCCGCCGTAGAGGTGGTCAGGAGGGAAGAATTGTTGTTCTTAGGGTTGAAATGGGCGGGGAGACAAAATGGTTCCCGGGAAAGGGGAGTTGGAGGGATTAGGCTGGGACACAGACGGGTACTAATGAGCGCTCGCCATCACCGTGTGGCGAGCCGGGACTAGACGGCTGGCCTCTTTTCTTCGCCCAGTCCCTGTCTCAGGGTCTTTCCCCAGAATGTAAGGGGGTTGAAATTTCCTTTCCAGAGGACCGGGTGAAAAAAAATAGAGATAGCCCAGGGCATAGCAGGGGGCGGAAGCGGGAACGGTGGAATCCGAGCTGGGCATAGAGGGCGTGGAGGTCGTCAGGGAAGAAGGACGGTTCTGTTGCTATGCAACCTGTCCAGAGCCCGCCTCCCGCTCGCGTTGCTAGGACACGGCGAGGCCAGGGGGAGGGCGGGGGAGCTGGTCCTACGTGCTGACGCTAATTGTATATGAGCGCGAGCGGCGGGCTCTTGGGTCTTTTTTAGCGCCATCTGCTCGCGGCGCCGCCTCCTGCTCCTCCCGCTGCCACCCTGAGTCACTGACTGCGCAGCTCCGGCCTCCTGGATACCCGTGCTAGCCATCGGTAACGGATTGGGGCCTGAAAGAGAAGGGGGAACGTAATGTCGGCCGCGCGGTCGGCGCAGAGGGGAGGGACGGAGGGACGGGGAACCGAGAACTGGGGCCACGGGCCGCCCAAGGCCTCCCGGCTCGCCTTGTGGGCCAGAGCCGGACCCGTCCGCAGAGTTTTGACCCCGTAGCTTGAGAGGTTCCCGGGATCAGCCAGCGCTTTTTTTCGGGAACCACTGAGGAGACGCGGGGGTTGGTGAGGCCTGAGAGGGCCAGAGACCGTGCCAGTGTGCGCCGAGGTACACTCAGCACCACCGGCTTCTCCGCGCGGACAGGGGCGAGGCCACGGCTTCGGCCGGGCGTCCTGAGAAAGCGACGGCTGCGCTGCTGGTTCTCGGGGTGCAGGGTGGGGGCCAGGCTCGACTGCGTAAGCATGGCTGCCTCGACGTCCCCGTTTCCTCAAAATTAATACCCGGAGGAGGCCGCTGGGGGATGGAAAGAACGGTGGAGGCTGCGAATTCCGATGGGTGGGAGGGGCTGTGAAGGGACGAGGCCCCTGAGCTGAGAGGGGGCGGGGAGGCTGCGAGGCTCGGGGGGCTCTCCGCCTACCGGGGGCGGAGACTCTGCAGGGCGGGGGAAACCCCGGCGGCTTCCCTCTGCACGTGGCCGCCATCTGAGACTGTTTGGAGACCCCAGCTTCTGTTGCACTTACTGAACATAGTAGAGACGGTGGGATGTGAAAATGAATAGTGAACAATAAGTCCAGCCCTTGGGTGTCAAACTCTTAACCTGCTTCTATTTGGGCTTAATCTTTTCATTGGTACAGGAGAAAAGTATGAGTGTTAGGTGATAGTTGATGCAGGGCCTCCATTACTAGAATTTTTAAGGATTAATGTGTGTGAAATGCCTATATTGTGTTCTTAACAAAAGATTTTTTGGTGTACCTCAGGTACAATTAGAATTTGGATGGGTGTCTTGACCACGCTTTTTTATTCGGAAAGGGTTGATCCTCGAACTGTTTTAAGGTGGCGTTACTAAAGAATTTGGCTTGCAGTGTCTTTAATTCTTCTAGGACTTCTATTGCTTTCTCACAAATTAGTTCCTTTATTGAGGTTCCCAGATAAGATACTTAACTAGCTGTTTAGTTTTTAAGATGAGTGAGGGTATGGTGGAGGAACTATAGAGTAGAATGAAGAGCAGTGTAAACTTAGCCAAGTTTGTAACATGCCTTGTCTATGCCCCCACTTCAAAAAAGGAGGCAGTGAAGGGAAGCAGTAAATGAATCTTGTCTAGGAGGGCTAGACTTCGAGGGTACAAAAAATGAACTGGGTACAGGATGTGATTGAAGAGCCCCTGTTTCAGACTATCACTGTCGGATTAGTTTTGTAAGGATTGCACTTTAAAATCTCAACACTAATTCCCCGGTTTCAGGAGAACTGAGCTGTAAAATGAAGTTTGCTATTCTTAAAAACAGGTAATACCAAAATACCTTTTCAAATTAGCATTTAGGTAGGTCCTATTTTCATGTCAGCTTTAATACTACTATACTTACCGTTCTTAGGAAGTAAGCCACAGTAACTCTGGATAAGGGGGAAACCATATCTATAAGTCGTCATTAACTGCATGGATGAATTATTTGACTTTAAGTGAAATGATGTATAAGGAAACCAATGTACCATAAGCTAATCAATATAAAAGAGTTAGGTTCCTAAATCACCTAATGAACTTTAAAATAAAACAACATTAAATGAAACCATGATGTTTGAGGACCTGCTGTATATAGAATGAACTTAAAACTGACAGACGGTAAATGAGATTTATAGTGATCTTTTGGAGTATTGAGTTTCAGATGCTTGTTTGGAGTATTGAGTTTCAGATGCTTGTTCCATGTTGTCTGAGTTCGAATGGGCCAAATTCAAAATGTGCAGTTTATTTTTTTAGGAAATCTGGAGGGTAGATGAAGCTAAATGGTAGGTTGGCTTGGGTATATAATATTGTAAAAATCTTGACTTCATAGATTGCCTTTTTATGTGTTATGTTAATTTAATAGCATTTTAAAAATTAACCATACCTGATTGAAAACCTTTTGTAAATTTTGTCTGTACTGGAACTAATCCAAAATTCAGTTGCTTGTTTTATTACTTATTCAACTTACACATACTGTGTCTAGATAACTGATTTCATTCTAAACATTTATTTTTAGACAGAGGGGGAGGGAGAAAGGGGGAAAGAAACATCAATGTGTAGTTGCCTCTTGAGCGCCCCCTACTGGAGGCCTGGCCCGCAACCTGGCGGTCGGCACTCAACCCACTGAGCTACATCAGCCAGGGCTGATTCTAAACATTTTAAAATATATTCAATACAGAGTCCTTTCGTGGGGAAGGGGGCTAAAAGAAGTAGAGTCTGTTTGACTTCAAGGTATGAAGATGCCAAAAAAACAAAATTAAGCCAAGTAAATTTGAAGGTCTAATTGACATTTTTAAGTCATGAGCGGCATCCCACCCAGCCCTCTGAGGGCTTGTACCAAATGGAAGGTTTTTTTAATAGGAGGAAGGGTAAGGCAAGGTTGCTGTTAACAAAAAAAGGGTTTTCAGCTGGGAAGGTTTTTGTCATGCAATTGCCTTTTTCTGTGGATGGGAGAAGAGGGTACATATGAGATTACTTGATTGATGTTGAGCAGAAAATTCCGGATTGATTAAGGTTGTTGCTGGGAGAGAGTGAAACTGCAATTAGATCAGGTATTAAATCTAGGCTTGGTATCATGGGCTTTTAGCAAACGTGATGCCATTTTGGGCCTGTGGTTTTTTTCTTCAATGGTAGCAAAATAAAATACTACATTGCTTGCTTTGGTCCTTTTTTGCTTGGTTGTAAATTTGAAATACTAATGACAGAAAAGATGAGAAGGAATGAATCCTAATCAGTTTAGAAAACTAATGATTAATCTATTCAGATCAAGTCAAATATGTGATTACTTAGTTTTCTTAGTTGATTCTTTGTGTATTTTAGTACCTGTTTAGACATACATCTTACATCGTGAACCAAAAGGGGAATTGGTTGTCTACATATAAAATGTTGAGTTGTGGTGATGGTGTGAAGAAAAAGAAAGTGGAGTTAGGGTAGTATTTATAAGACTTTTTTTTAAATTTAAGTTTTATTGATTTTAGAGAGAAACATCAATTTTTGTTGTTCCACCTATTTATGCATTCATTGGTTGCTTCTTGTGTATACACTGACTGGGGATCTGACCCACACCCTTGGCATATCCAGATGACACTTTAATCAACTGAACTACGGGCCAGGGCTTCTACAACATTCTTCACATGAAGGAACCTATTACAGAGGTGATAACGAGTCCTATTTCATGCTGATTTCATCAATATAACTTCTTTTCTTGTTGGGCAGAGTTAGGGTTAGAAGGTGACTGTTGCTGTTTTCACTCATCCTTGTAAATTGTTTAGTATGTTGACAGCAGACCACTAGGCTGCATTGTTGGGCTTGTGACCAAAGGTAGACTGTTTACGTCTTGTTACCAACTCTACCTTCTGCTACATGCTTTTTTAGAAGGTTTGTGTATTTTGATTTTTATTGAGAAAGGGGGCTATAATTTTGAAGTTTATTAGTTTGGATTGTTTTCTAAGGTAAAGGGTACAGAAGTAGGTAGAACGGGTAGATAATAACAGCACTTACTGGGTGATTATTCTGGCAATGTTTTAAGTTATTTTACGTAACTGATTTAGTGCTTCTGGAGGTGGGTAGTATGACCATTTTAATGAGGAAATTGAGGTACATAGTAAAGAACTACCTAGGGATGCAAACTGAGCAATCATGATTTCTAATGAGGATTTTGTATTGGTTTTAAAGCGATAGTTCCCTTGACTTAAATTGTTACACTGTACATTAGTTTGGAATTTGAAAACACATTTATTTATATATATATTTTAGATTTTATTTATTTTTAGAGAGAGGGGAAGGGAGGACAATGAGGGCGAGAAACCTTGATGTGGAAAAGCTATTTCAGTTAGCTGTTGTTGCATGCCCCCAAGTGGGGACCTGGCCTGCAACCCAGGCGTGTGCCCTGACTGGGAATTGAACCAGCAACCTTTTGGTTTGCAGGCTGGCACCCAGTCCACTGAGCCACACCAGCCAGGGCTGAAAAACACTCTTGCTTAGGTTTCACTGTGCTCTAAGGAAAAGCTGGAGGACTTAATGGTTATGAAGTTGTCTTTAATATGTCATGTTTCACGTGAATAAACTTTTTGTTTATGCTTGTGTGTTATTTTCAAATATCAGTCCAACCCGTTGTTTTCTTTGTCATTGGATTAGATAATACCTTAGATAATGAGATCCTTTAAACAAAGGATTGTGTTCTCAAATGGAAGTCCATTTGCTTGGGACTGACTGAAGTTGTGTTGGAGCCATATCAAAGACTGAGCCCCTGGACCACTGAAAATGTGGAACAGTAATGGAACAGAATGGAACAGTAATGCTTGAAAGACAGATTTGTTCAAGTGCATTTAGAATGAGATGAGGTCTGAGGTAAAGGGAAATCTTATCTTTGGGATATTACTGTTTCTCTTTATTAATTCTTTCGCTTTAAAACACGTAGTTTGTAATGATTGGCCGTTTAACCATGAGTGAGTAATTTTCCATAAGGGAATAGTAACTACTTTGTTATATAATCTGTGAGACAGTAGGCTGATTGGGAATGCACCTTGGTTTTTGGAGTGGTGTGGACTGGGCGTGGGTTTTAGAAGTCAGATTTTAATTACTAGTTTTTTCCACTTAATCTCTTGTGTGTTGCTGAGCAAATTTGTAATGTTTTATATACAAATAAGAGGAAACCCTATAATAGTCCACTACAGAGTAGGCTGTAAATGTTAGTTTTTCTTCTCATTGAAAGTAAGGAGAACTTAGAATCAGGTTTACTGCAATGTTGAGTTACTTGATAGCTCGTGTCTGGACATCTAGCTATTATAAGATTACAAAATAATTAGTTTATGCTTTGATTCAATCACTTTTTTTCCCTCTTTCTTCACTGTAAGGTTTTCTTTGTATTTAAGTTCTTAGGTTAAGGTATGACTTTAGTCATGATGAACCTTGTGTTTTCATTGAGGTCTTCTATACATTACATATATGAGGTAATGAGTTGAACCTTTCACCTTTTTATCTCTAGTAATACTTTTCCTTAAAGTCATTGACCTAATGTTAATATAGTGATACCAGGTTTCTTTTGGTCACGTTGTCTTTCACTAACAATTTTAATAGGGGCCTTTAGTTGATTTAATGTAATTACTGTGGTGTTTGGTTTAAATCTGATTTTTGTGTGTGCATGTGCCTTTTTTTATCCATTTTCTTCAGGTTGATGTAAAAATACACATATTTGTATATATAAATTTTTTTCCTCTTGTTTTGGAACATACATGTCTTTAACCTTTCAGGGTGTTCACCCTAGAAATTACAGTATGCATACATAAGAACATTAGAATACTTGGGTCCATTTCCTCTCCTCGTAACTCTCACCACTGACTTCGTGTTGTGGTAGTTTAAATTTTTTACACTATACAGTGGTGATACTACTTCTTTTAAAATATTTATTTAGATATATATGGATATCCTTTTGCCCCTCACTTCTTTTATCTTAGACCTTCCATTTTCAATCACTTGCCTTCTGCCTGAAGAAAGTCCTTTTAGAATTTACTACTGAGAGTGTTGGAGCTGAAAGTATGTTATCTTCATATTTGAAGGATATTTTGGTTGGTATAATATTTTAAAATCCTCCATTGTTTTCAGCATGTTAAGCACAACAGCACATTCTGTTGTCTTTTGATGTTCATTACTAAAAAGAAAAGAGCCATCTTTTGTGCCTTTGAAGTTAATCTAAGTCTTTTCTCTGTGTATCTTTTAGGTGACTGTTTTTAGTGTCTTGCCTTTTCACTCATATATCTCAGATAAGTGTGTTTTTTTTTTTTTTATTTGTCCCAATTGGGATTTGTAGGGCTATCATTTATTAGCTCTGGAAAATTCTTTGCTCCTAATTTCTTCAAATACTCTTTCCATTTTCTTCTTTACTCCTAAAAGTTGTGTTAAGTCTTTGTTACACTTTATTGTATCCTAAATTGTGTTTTAACTTTAGTATTTTCTGTCTTCTAGTTCTGTCATATTTTAGAAGATTTCTTTTAAGCTTGTTTTCAGCTCACTTAGTTCTCCAGCTGTATTTAGTCTGCTGTTAAACTTGTTCATTTAGTTTGATTTGTTATTTTTATTTGTAGAAGTTCTATTTAGTCCTTTGCCAAAATAGCTACATCACCTTTAATATATTACTGTTCCTTGTCGACGTAGCTGCAGGCATTGTATTTTCAAACGTAGTTCATATGGTTGTTTTTGTCTGTGTTTATAGTTATTTAAGTCTTTATAGACTGGCTTCTGTTGTCCCTTTTGCTCTTGGAAATTTTACGAATTATTTGAGGTCTATGATGAAGGTGCCTTTCACTTACATTTGGATATGCAGGTGCCTACAAACCCTTGTCAGAGACCACTTTAAGCTTATAGCTTGGATTTTGAAGGGAACATAGATGAGGTTATATTGGGCTTTTGTTCAGTAGAACTGGTTTATTATCCCTGTGAATTTAGCACTTTTAGGTTACTGCTTAATTTGGGAGGGTTGCCATAAAGATTCCTCGCCTTGAATAGGTCCATAACGTTTGATTTCACAGTACAGTAGTTCAAGTTTGAGGTTGGCAGTTGGCCATATGGCAAAAGTGACTTCCTTATTCTTATTTTGCTTCCTTAGGCATGATGGTTCAGAATCTGAGTATGGAAATCTTTTTAAAAATGAACTATTTGTAATTTTATATTTACAGAGAAGTTGTCGATAGTTTAGACAGTTCCCAATCACTTTTCCCTAATGTTTACCATCTTACATTACCGTGGTGTATTTGTCATTCTGTACATTTGTCAGAACTAGAGGAATGTTTTAAGTGAATTTGCTTCTTAAGATCAATCTGGCAATTCGGACTTCTGGCCAAGTTGTAGGCATAGGTAGACTCACTTCACCTCCTCACACAAAAAAAGGACAACAAATTTAAAAACAAAAAACAACCAGAACCTCCAGAAAATCAAACTATATGGAAGTCCAACAACCAAGGATTTAAAGAAGAAACATTCATTCAGATGGGTAGGAGGGCCAGAGAGGACACGGTGTGGTGAGGCAGCAGGGGCTGCCACTGGTGGAAAGGGCAGTCGCACATTCATGGGTGGCAGATAAAAACAAGGAGGGACAACTGGGACAAGCAATCCCCAGCCCCAGGCCAGACTGTGCAACCTAGGGTTCTAGCACCTGAAAAACAAAGCCTCCTAACCTCTAGCTGTAAAATCCAGTGGGGGTTAGCGTAGCAGAAGAAAGTGCTGGTCTCTCAGAAGAGTCCATTTAAAGGGCCTACAGGGTCCTGGAACTTAGGCAAGCCTACCCGCTATGGGAATCAGCACCAGGCCAGCAGCTAGAAGGGAGCCAGTTGCTTACAGGAAGTAGGAGAAGTGACTGGAAATGGGGCTAGAGCTGGTCAGATGTCATTGTTCCCTCTGATCCCTTCCAGACATACAGTGCCACAAAGTGGTAAAGTGGGTTGCACCACCCTGGTGAATACCTAAGGTGCCACCCCTTAAAATATAACAGGTGTGCTGACACAGGGAGGCTGCCAAATTGAGATGACAAAGAAATATAGTCCAAATGAAAGAACAGATCGAAACTCCAGGAAAAGAACTAAGCGACATGGAAATAACCAACCTATCTGATGCAGAATTCAAAACACTGGTGATCAGGGTGCTCAGAAATGGCTAAGTATGGTCACCAAATAAAGGAAGAAGTGAAGGTTATGCAAAGTGAAATAAAGAAAAATATACAGGGAACCAACAGTGAAGGGAAGGAAGCCAGGATTCAAGTCAATGATTGAAACAAAAGGAAGAAACAAAAATTCAATCAGAACAGAAAGGAGAAACAAGAATTCAAGAAAATGAGGAGAAGCTTAGGAATCTCTTGGACAGCTTTAAATGTACCAACATCCGAATCATAGGGGTACCAGAATGAGAAGAGGAAGGGCAAGAAGTTGAAAACTTAATTGGAAAAAATAATGAAAGAAAACTTTCCCAGTCTGGTAAAAGTCTGGTAAAGGAAACAGACATACAAGTACGGGAAGCTCAGAATCCCAAACAAGTTGGACCCAAAGAGGACCAGACCAAGACACATCATAATTAAATTACCCACGATTAAAGATAAGGAGAGAATCTTAAGCAGCAAGAGAAAAGGAGAGATTTACCTACAAAGGAGTTCACATAAGACTTAGCAGCTGATTTTCTCAAAAGAAACTTTGCAGACAAGGGATTGGCCAGAAGTATGCAAAGAGATGAAAAACAAGGATTACAATGAAGATTGCTCTATCCAGCAAAGCTATCATTTAGAATGGAAGGGCAGATCAAGTGCTTCCCAGACAAGGTAAAACTATAGGAGTTTATCATCACCAAGTCCTCATTATGTGAAATGTTAGGGGGACTTAAATGAAAAAGGAGATCAAAACTATGAACAGTAAAATGACAGCAAACTCACAGTTACAAACAATGGAATCTAAAAAAAAATCGAAACAAACAACTAGAACAGGAACAGAATCACAAATGGGGATCACGTGGAGGGTTATCAGTGGGGGAGACAAGGGGGAGAATGGGGGAAATGGTACAGGGAATAAGAAGCATAATTGGTAGGTACAAAATAGACGGGAGGATGTTAAGTGTAGTATAGGAAATGGAGAAGCCAGAGAACTCATGAGACTCATGGACATGAACTAAGGAGGGAATTGCTAGAGGTAATAGAGGTACTGGGTGAAACTGGGCAAAAGGGAAAAGATGGTACAACTGTAATTAGCATAATCAATAGAGTATACTTAAAAAAAGATCAGTCCAATGAGGAAACATTGTTTTTTCTAACTTTGTAGATGATTAAGTAAGACTAGACTTTTTTTCATGAGCTAGATTACTTCAAAGTTGGTATCAACCCAAATGATCTGATTTCAAAATCAGGTCTACTTCGAAAAAACAAAAAATGTGTACAACCATGAAATCTAATTTATCCAGAATCGGCATCTGTGAAGAAGTAAAAATTCCATCCTGGTCTGTCTTGAATCCTGTTTAATAAAGAATCAAAGTAATTTTGTTGGAGGAGTTTGAATTTTAAATGTAATGCCACCAAGTGGACACTTGAGGGTTAGCAGTGGAGGAGTAATACTCCAGATATTAGGCCCTGACTGCTAAAATCAGTATCTCTTAACATTTTAATTAACAAGTATATTAAGCATGTTGGTGTAAGGAATCGTATTGTGTATCATTTTGTGAGTTAAAGGCTAAGTTTAATTTTTAAAAGATAAGAACTTGATTTTAATGTGGGGTTCTAAGCTTGATTAAATTTTTTTTTTTTTTACTATCTGCTTCATTAGTGGCATTCATCCATTTTTCTGACTGAATATAACACTTTACCTTGAGTTTTGGCTTTCTAAAAATATTCTAGAGTTAATACTAATTTTACAGTAAGAAAGAACTTAGGATGTGCTGTGATTGATTCTAACAGTATTTGGGTGTGTTAACCAAGAGCGCTGACAATGTACCAGCATATCCAGGGTAGGCTGGGGGTGTGGTGGTTATCAGTGATGTGGAATGAAGAGACAAGAAAGGTTTAGCTGACATGGGTTAGGAAGTAGAGCTTTAAAACTGTCATTAAATAACTTAAAAGGCTGACATTGAATATAGGAATTATTAAACCTTTTTTACAAAGATCTCCAGGGTTGGGGGCAGGCATGAGTATAGTAGGTGGCAAATTTTGGCTTTTAAACATGAATTTGATAAAAATGAATGCTGTTAAAAATGAGTGGGTTTGATCTGTAAAGGTACTAAGCCTAAAAACTTAAAAAGTTGATCATTCATGGTTGTTACAGGAATTTGAATAAAGATCCTTTGCATTGTTCCTTTTCTGTGATTCTAGCATACATTAGATTCTTTACTAACAGTGCTATAATAAAAGTTCTTACATGATAGATTCTAAATTGCTACTAGTAACTTGCTAATTTTAACCATGAAAACCTATGTTCCATGGTATTTCTTAACACTGATACTTTTACTTAATGGGAGTATACATTTCTTTTGGGATAGTTTTTAACATAGTATTGATTTATAGGGTTTGGGTTTTAAGTGTTTTTATTGGTTTTGAATAAATTTTAAACTTTTAACTTTGATGTTTCTCTCCATAGATATTTGGAATTCTTACAGCATGGCAGACATTGACAAGTAAGTGGCAAATAGTTGGTTTCTTTTTCAGAGATTTGTACTGTGATGTAGTTAACAGTAGTACTAGTTATGTATTATGAAAAAGTACGGTAATGACTAATATTTAGTACCTCCTATTAGAAAAGTTACATATTGCATATCCAAGACAAAATATAGCATATATAATCACTCATAAATACAGTAAGCCATTTGACAAATTCATAGGAAAGTGCTGAGCACAATAATGAATCAGATACTTGCAGAATCCATTTTTACCCTATATGTATTTCCCAAAGATTTCTACTAACATTATGATGTATCATGTATACCAGATAAAAGGTGTAAAAAGTGTATAAAATGTCTATGTGGAGATTAAAGAAGGTCAGGACACTATATATACAAGCTTTTAAAGATAGACCATTACTATTAGAACCCCTGTGTGCCCCTTTCCATTGCATCTTCCATCTTTCCTCTTCAGAGGTGTAAGCACTGTCTTGGCTTTTGTCTAAGTTATTCATTTTTTGTTAAAGAGTTTCACCACCTACAAATTCTTAACATTTAATTTTGAAAAACTGAATAGCAGTCACAGATGTAAATGTATAAAGAAAAAGGCAACATTACCATTATTAGTCGAAGGCTCCAGGGTAGGAAAATAAAAGGCAAAAAGGAGTATCTGGGTCATAGCGTGACTTCAGTTTTACTCTGGCATTTCAAGGGCTTATTTTGGAGAAGTCATTGGGCAAGGTCACACATCCTGGAAATAGTGTTGGTGAGGTTGGCATCTGGTGTGGCTATAATATGGATGGGTGTCTTGTAGAAATATGATCAGGAAAAATGGGATGAGCTGTATTATTTGTTGCTTGTAATTTTACCGTAGCCTGCCAATGTAGAGGACAGTTTAAAACAATATTTGGGGATGGGGGAGGTATGATATGATTATCCACAGCTTTTATAAGCAGCAGAGCATGGAGGTGGAAGGGCAGGAAACTTTAGCACAAGGTTAACACATTCAAGTACTATGCATACAGGAATCTGGCTGATCCTCCCATGAATGCTGTCTTGAGCATAAAAAGAAAGAAATGGTAGTAGGCATTTTAATGGTAAAAAAGTATCATCACCTTAATCACTTTCCTCTAGCTTGGCTTCTTGGCCTTAGCTAAGAAATTGTGGATCTATTTTATTACCTTCCAGGGGGTTTGTTTTGTTTCTTCTCTCTTGGGTTTGCTCTTTGTTATGTCCTGATTTCCCCTCTCCCCTCTCCCCTCTCCCCCCTCCCCTCCCCTCCCTTTTTTAGAAGAGTACATGGGAAGTAAATTATTTTGAGATGGCATAAATGATAATGACATTTCTACTCTGATGCTTGATTGTGTGTAGAATTCTAATTTGGGAATCATTTTTAAGAATTTTGAAGGCATTGCTCTGTTGTTACCTGGTTTCCAGTGTTGCTGTATTGAAAACTCAAGGTCTTTATTAATTATTCTTGATCATTTGTACATGGCACTTTTTTAAACAAATGTACACATAGATCTCTTGATTTCTGGAAACTACTCTGGTTTTGGGATTCAGAATTTTTTACATTGTTGGGTCTGTGTTTTCGCCTCATGTTAACACATTCAGGGGTAGACCCTTTGAATTTGGCCATTTGATGACTTTTAGTTCTAGGGAATATTCTTGATTGTCTTCTGTTTTCTCTTTCTGGATCTCCTGTTCTGTTGTGTGTTGGGCTGGTTCTTCTAATTACCTTCTGTACTATTTTCCATCTTTGTCTCTTTGTTTTTTCTAAGAATTGTTGAAGAAACTTCATCTTTAACTCTCATACTGAGTTTCCAAATTTCTATTTTTTAGTTCTCAGGCTCTCCTTTGCCATCTATTCCTGATTTTATAGCATCTTGTTCTTCTTTCATTGATTGTAATATGTTTTCTTTGGATGTTTCTTTCCCCTGCATTGTCTTTTTGCTCTTGAATTTTTATTTCTTCTGATTTGGTGTCAATATGAGAGGCCTTCCTCAAAAGGAGGTAATACTTGTGTTTGATTGCTCATTAAGATTGGGGTGGAGTGGGGTCAGGCAGTTAAAGGATGATTTTAAAAAGTTGCCTGGAAAATTTGGGTGTTGGGAAGGGGGATGCTTGTCCATTTGAGATTTTAATGTAAGGTCATGAAGGTGGGCATTGTGAGAATTCTCAGCATCAGTTTTTTTTCTTGGCTGGTCAGATATACCTCAGTGAAGAGTGGGTGTTCTGGGAGCCAATTTGGGAGAAAACAGCTAGGGAGGGGTTCTACTTTCATTACTCCAGTGTGCATATTGTCATACCTTAGGTAATTGTAACTGTGATCCTCCAGTCCAGCGTCTCTGTTTATCCCTTTCCAGAGAAGAAACTGCCATATTCTGTTATAGTGAGGGAGAGGAGCTAAGGATTTAACTGCTTGTCAGGTTTTGCCCTGTCCTCCCTATTTTATCCATATTAAGTGTTCTTTTAAAGATTATGTGTTTGAGTTGGCTCTCAGCTTTCCCCACTACTTAGATTTCAGATCTCAGTGAAGTTGCTGTTCTTTTCTCCTTGTCCTTTGGTGTGTGTCTCTTTAAAAAAGTCCCTTTATCATAATTTTAGTAGGGATTCTGGAAGGACTGAGATCAGATGAGTATGTGCAGTCTGTGATTTTAACCTTTCCATTTTATAAATTTGGAGGGAGGAATAAATTGATTCCCTCTTTCATTATTTAATTTTGGATGCCTGTGAGCCTTCGCAGAGGGAAGGGAAGAGGGGATTCTTGTTTTTTACAGCAGAAGTTAGTGAACTTTTCTCTGATAAGGACCTGATCTTAAACATTGTAGGCATTTTAGGCCATACATTCTTTTGCAACTACTCAACTTCGCTGTATAAGCATGAAAGCAGCCATAGACAGTACATAAATGAACTAACATTACTGTATTCCAATAAAACTTTATTTACAAAAATAAGAGTGGGCTGGATTTGGCCATATGACGTAGTTTGTGGTCCCCTGTTTTAAAGCTTTAAGATGTAAATGTTGAATAAATGGTTGAAGGAAATGGCACTGGAGGAAGAGCTGTTCCATGTTGTCTTTAGTTACCCTTTACTCTAGTGTGCTTAAGTGTATGCTGTCAGAGATATTTCAGAAATGATTATTTTGTTTTTGATAGGGAGGCTGGTTTTTTTCCTTAGTTGATAGGAACGTAAATTTTGCTGGCAGAATACAGTTGACCTTTTCTGTACTTGTCCCCATGTGAAAATTAGATAGTATTTGTCCATATTTGAAAATCTTTCTAATGCTGTTTGTAAGCAAGTAAAGCAACCAAATCTCTAAGCAAAATATTAAAATGTAAAATCACAAAAGGAATTATATAGCGATCTACATATTGACTTAGCTATTCTCATTTCCCTTTTTATTCCTGGTCATAATTTCATGTACAGAAACTAGATTTTTAAGATGAAATGAGAAGAATGTTACCACTTTTATCTTCTCTTTCATTGGTGCCATCCTCCTGGCTATGCTCTAAGCACAAGTAGTCTCAGGCCTTCTTAACTTGTACTATTCTTTTCTGTCACTACTGTGAAGTAACGAAAAAGGAGGAAGGTCCACAAAGATAGTGAGTACAGGCTGATATGGATGCTTCACAGTCATCAGGGATACAGGGCTCTTCTGTTTTTCCAAACTGTCATTCTTAGCTGGTTACTTCCATTATGTGGGTTGCCCCATGGTCCAGTGTGGCTGCTGGGGCTCTAGCCATCACATCCATCCATATTCTAGGGAGGAAGCAAGGTCACAAAGGCCTCCCAACTGTTTACTGTCTTATAAAGAAATCTTCAAAGTTCTATACTACTAGTTCTCTCACTGCTAAAACAGTCACATAGCCATATCTAAACTAAAAAGGTAGTCTGGGAAATGCAGATATTTTAGCTTTGTGACCTACCGTCTTGTAAAATTAGAGTACTGTTACTAAGAAAAATCATTAGATATTGGGATAAAGCACATACTTTCTGATACTACATTCTCTGAATCAAAACCTGTTAAACCACATTTTAAAGCTTGAAGTATAAACTTTGTATTTGACCATATGCTTTTAAATGAAATTTTAAGTATTTGTACTTGCTTACATTCAAAGTTAGAGCGAAAACAGTTATCTTTTGAGTTTTCTATTTCATATTTTTGAAAGTTATTTTAACTTAGAAAATGAATTCAAGTTTTTCTATATATTTTTTTATTTTTGGTAATTTTGTACATTTGAACTTGGTGTGATACTATAATATTGTAGCAAAGAACAGTCTGAACTTGATCAAGATTTGGATGATGTTGAAGAAGTAGAAGAAGAAGAAACTGGTGAAGAAACAAAAATCAAAGGTATTTAAATTTTTTCAGGATCAGTGATTACTGGCACATGTCTTCTAGAGGGTAGTAATAAGTACCATTCTCTTTTTGATCCTTGTCTGCTTTATCCACTGGCCCATACCTCATTTCATTAAGTCCTTGTATATTGTAGGGGGAGGGATGGGGAAAAGATGGGATGAAATTATAGTAATGGAGGTAGGTATGGGTATAGTGATCCCTCAGAAGTCACTGTGTGTACCCTTTACTGCTAGAGTGACATGGCATATCTGTGGTAAACAGTTTAGCTACCATGAGTTTTGCTTCCATTCAGAAATGTTAAGCCCTGGATGGTGTGGCTCAGTGGATTGAGCACCAGCCTGCAAAACAAATGTTAGAGGTGGTGGTGGGAGTTGTTTTCGTGGTGATTCTAAACAAATACCACTAGCTTAGGCTTACTTGAAAATGTTTCATACTCAATACGTAGACAATATAAAGTTGTGTGTGTGTGTGTCTTTTTTAATCCATTCCAATCAAACAACAAAAGAGACGTTAATAGAGGTCAATGGTGGTGGGGAACTACATTGTTTTAGGTTATATCCTGTAGATATGGGCCAAGAATATTAAGGTATCAGATGACTCAACATTTAATTTTTAAGCCAGAATAAGGTTGTTAAAAGACTACTGAACTTACAGTTTTAGATTTTATCTTGCAACATTTTCTTAAAAGATAATGGACTGTCTTTAGTGGCCAATATTGATATTCTAAAGGCATGCTGGTTATCAGAATGGTACATCATCTGATAACCAAATTAATATTAGAAGTAAAAAGAAAGAAAGAAAAAATATTAGAAGTAAATTGAACTTTAAAAGCTTAATCGGGAAAATGCAATTTGGGGGAATGTCTATTGGTGAAGAAAAGATAGCAAAACTTTTTCATAAATCTAGCTTATTTTTGGGTCAAGTATAATTTGCAGATACCATTGATAACCATTTTTTATTTGGCTTTAGTTATAGCCTTTGACTATCAGCTGTTAACTTTCTCTATTGGGACAGACCCAGGCACATTATAGAAACGAACATCAAATAAATATTCAGGTCACTCGTTTCACTTTCTTACCCAGGCTTTGTAACTGTCACTGTTTGCAGTTTTCTGATGTGTTGTCTGCCTTTGAAGGATTATCAAGAGTGGTAGGTAGGCATCTGGATGAAGCTTTGAGCTTCCCAAAATGCACAATGGCTGAAATATAAGATAGTAGGAAGAGAAAGGATACTGTTGATAGTTGTATAAATGGTCTTGAAAAATGGCATGGATTAGAGATCATTAGGAATCTGAAGTTTTCCTACACATTGCGTTTTCCTAGAATGAATTTTCTTTAGCTTGCCGCTTGTCTCTACTCATACCAGCAATTACTGGCTAGTCAGGGAAACCCCATGATTGGATTGTCCTATTAAAATAGCATAATACATTTTCATAAAATCCTTCTTTGATGCCCTTTTTTTTTTTTAAGCGCGTCAGCTGACTGTTCAGATGATGCAAAATCCTCAGATTCTTGCAGCCCTCCAAGAAAGACTTGATGGTCTGGTAGAAACACCAACAGGATACATTGAAAGGTACAAGTTCTTTTTCATAGTCCTTCTCTTTCTGTAATCAGCATTGCAGGTGTATCTATTTTTAAGACCATCTGAGACTTAATGAATGTATATAATAGTGGAAAGCTAATGTTTGTTAATGCCTAGTATAGGATTATTTGGAGTTCAAGCTTTTGCTTAAGTACCACCAATTTAGGTTTGGTCTTTTAAAGTTTATTCTCATCTCCACAGGAACTATACTGATCTTACTCATTTCTGAGATTTGTTTAGAGGTTGGTTAGAAATGCACAGAATTAGAAGAAATAACAGATTTTTTATTTTGTTTGTCATATGAATCATTAATAGCCCAGATATCCTGTTGTGCTTACAATCTTTTTACATGGCTTTATGATTTTAAGATCCATCTGTGTTGCTCTCTATATGCACTTTATTATCTTCTAGCCTCTGAATGTTGCCTATATCTCATGATGTTTGTCTATCATGTTTTATTATGTTTTTTCTTTGATGGATACCTAGATTGCCTCCAAGCTCAATTAGCACAAAGTTTACTGTAATGGTTGTTTTTGTACAGGTTCTCAAGGAACTTTGAAAGAATTTCCTTGTACTTACCAGTGGGATTGCTAGTTACAGAGTTTGCAAGCCTCAAGTTCTTCCCACTTGCTTTTTAGAATGACTGTTTCCAGTGCACTAAGATTCCTTTATATTTACATCCTTTCCAACATTTGGCATTCTTCAGCTTTATAATTTTTTAAATTTTATTTTTACCAGTGGAAGAGGTGCAGCCTTATTATTATTTTTTTTTTCTGACTTCTCATGAATTTCTGTTCATGATTGTGAGGCTTTTTGGTTGCCCATTTGTAACCTTTGCCCTTTTTTGTACTGGGGTTTACTGTCTTTTTCTTGTTTTGCAGGAGTTCTTAGGTATGTATTCTAGGTATTCATTCCTTTTCAGTTTTAGAAAGTCTTTGTAAATCCATTGTGTCATTTTTATTTACATATAGCATCCTTCATTAAACAGAAGTTATTACTTTTTATATTTGTTAAATTTTTTAACTTAATGGTTTGTTCTTTTGAAGTTAAGTCCTTCCTGGTTCCTTCTCTATTAGCTACTGACTAGTTTTACTTTTTACCTTTAGATCTTTAATGTCTTTAGAGTGTATCTTTGTATTAGGCGTGAATGGGCATCCATTTTTTCTTTTTCTTTCTTTCTTAGTGAGCTAACTTTTGTAACACTGTAAACAGTTCATTTTCCCCCATTTGTGGTATCACCTTTATAGTATATCACCTTCTTTATAAACACCTATGTCTTTGAGCCTGTGTCATTGATTTTTTTTGTCATCTCTTTTGTCATTGTCACACTTAATTACTATACCTTTATAGTCTGTTTTAGTATCTGTCAGGGTGAGTTGCTTTCTTCCACCACTCCTCACCTCACACATACCCCCGTCTGCCAGGACTGACCCAACAACCATTTATAGACCCTTAAGGTATATATGGTTAACAGTTTATCAGGGTTCTTTCAAAAACACACTGAAGTTTTGATAGCGATTTCATTGAATAAACATAGATTAACATGGTAGAGAAAGTTGGTTTTGTATCTAGAAATTTTGCTACACTTAATATAGTAATTTGTTCTGTGTTTTCTCCCATGTGCAAAAGATCTTATCTGCAAATAATGGCAATTTAGCTCCAACCTTCCATGTTATACTATACTGCATATTTATTTTTCTTTCTTTATAACACTGCCAGAATTTACAGTATTATGGTAAGGATTAGTGTTAAATGAGCATCTTTGTCTTATTTCTAATCTTAACCAGAAGTGAATATAAAATCCCCATTAAGTATTGTGTTTCTGATTTTTTTATGACCTTTTTTATGTATCACTTTAGATTGTCTTTTGATTGTTAAGTGCATATTAAATATATATATTTGTAAATACATATTTTGGATATCAAACTAACCTTGCATTCCTGAAATAAGCTTAATCATTATGTGTTGTTTCATCACTGAGTTGGGTAGTTAATATTTTATTCAGAGTCCTTATTCATTAATGAAATGAATATAGGAACTTAGATATGTGCATTTATGTATATATGTACAATACAGCTTTCAGGGGTGGTAATTGTATCCCCTGGTTTTAGACTCAAGATTTCGATTGCCTAATGAAATGAACAGGGCTGCTTTTACTTTTTTTTCCTGTTTTCTGGAATCACTTGTACAAGATAGGAATTAACTATTTCTTGAACAGTTGGTAGAACTCTTTTAAAAATGGACTTGGACCTTTGGGATTTGGGAAATAGAGGTCCTGGGGTATATTTCCCCTTCCTCCCTTACTTTCTCCCTCCGTTCCTCCCTCCCTCCTATCCTCCTTTCCTTCCTTCTCTCTAATTGACCTCTTCAAGTTCTCTTGTGCCTGTTTCAAAATGTAAGCATTTCTAAAAATATACGCATTTTACTAGTTTCAAAATTGATTAGTGTATATAATTCATGATATTTTTAGAGATCTGATCTTTTTCTTTTGTATTCTGTATTTTGCATCTTCATTAGTTTTGCCAGTTGCTTCAATCTTACTGTTCTTTTAGAACCAGCTTTTGATTTTTCATTTCTGTATTTTTGTTGTTCTTAATTGCTGCTCTTTCTCTGGCTTTAATGTTATTTCCTTCTTTCCAGTTTTCTAGTTCCTCTTTGTAATTTTTTTAGTTAAATGCTTAGTAATTTGATTTTTTTTTAAAACGGTTACTTTGTATCATTGTGGCCTTAATATTCTGTTTTTATGGATGCTAAGTATGGAGATGTATATGCTGAAATTAATAGCCCGAGCTTAGTCATTGTGGTGTTCATGTTCTCCTTATCATTACTTTCTGCTTGATCTAACAGTCTGGGAAGGATAAGTTAGAAAGCTTTGTATAATTTATCTGTTTCTCCCTGTAAATCTATCAGTTGTGTGTTGTGTTGTAAATTCTGTCCTTTCTGATACTAAGATAGCTTTCTTCTGGGTTTTGTTTACCTGGTATGTCTTTTTCCATTCAATTTCTATCTCATTCTAATGTGTATGTTTGCTTCTTTATTAGTAATTTCAACTCTACATTTCTTAAAATTGGTAATGCTTTTTGGGTTCAATTGCTACTGTCTTTTCCTTATTTTTAAGTTTATTGTATTTGTTTTTTCTTCTTTTCTGCGTTCATTGAATAGAGTTGTCTTTTGCTGGTTCAAAGTTAGTGCATTCTTTTTTTCTTGTTACTATGGTAAAGGCTCTAACCTTAATACCTAAGTTAATTTTTTAAATTGACCAATATCTATATTGTATATAAATTTACCAACTGATTTTTAAAAATTTTACCAATATCTGTATTCTTTATATATAACTTCTAGTACTGTATTTCAGTTCCTTCAAGGGAACAGTAAAATTTATTAAGGGGTTTGACTACTCATACCTTATCTGCAGCCTCTCTTGGATTTTTTAACTTAATTCAAAAATTATTTTTAATGATTACAATTAGTATTTGGCATACTTTTATTTTGCCTTCATATCTGAATAATAATTTGGCTATAAAATTGTAAGTTTAAAGTTCTTAATTCACTTTATTACTTCTGACATATATACAGTGTTTTCTTTAGAAACCTGATGTCAGTCTGATTTCTTCTGTAGGTTACTTGCTTTCTTCATTGTGAACTCTTAAAATTTTATTTTGTCTTTTGATACCTGTCTGGGAGTAGAATAAGTATTTTAATATTGCTTTAACTCTGAGATTCTCATTTCTTTAGATATTCATCTCCTTTTTTTCAACTATTGTTTAGTTTGTCATTCATATCTCACAGCTTTTCTGTCTCCTATCGGGAGACCTTTTAAACCTCATGGACTTTTTCTTCAGTTGAACTTGTCTTGTTTATCCTATTTGTTGGTTATTTTAGTTACTGTATCTTCCATAATATTCCTACCTTGTTTTAGATTTCTCAGTCTTGTCTCATATTGTTAGTATATTCCCTCATCACTAAGTATATTTTTTCTCTCAATTCTTACTAATGATGCTGCTTCAGATTTCATTCTTTTAGAAATTGTATTCAGGTGTCTAGCTTAGGGGATACTGGACTATAAGTGTTATTCTAGTAATGAATATTGAGGGAGGAATGAAGTTCAGACTCTGGTTTGTGTCAATCCTGTGGAGTTTAAGGGGATGGGATGAGCTGAAGGAGAGTTCCAATTATCTCAGATTCAAAGTTTGCTGACAATTTTGGGCAAATTATTTGGCTGCTTTGGGAGGAGGCAGTCTCCTGGTTGTAATCCATTGTACCCAGATTTCAGGGGGTGAAGGAGGCAGTGCTTGTGGGTTCTGAGCCAGAGTCCGGGTAGTCAATTAGCCCACTAATAGAACAACATTAAGCTTTTTTTTTTTTAATTGGTAGAAATAAAATGTTGATATCTTGAGGTATTTGTTTTTTACTTTTGGTTATTTTAACTAAATTTGTGGTTAGGTAAGATAATTACTTGATACACAACAATCGGTTTATGGCAGGGAATTCTAACCTGGATTGTGGATCTGTTACACAGACTCTCTGGAGTTAGGTAAATTTTGAGTGTGAGCATATTTTGACAGGTGGAGTGGTTCATAAGTGTAAGTAATTCTTTGAGGGGCTCACAGACTAGGTGTGTATAACATTTTAAAAATCTATGTGCCACAATAAATTATATAATAAATGAATTGTATCTCAATAAAGCTGTTAGTTAAAAAACCCAAGTCTCTTCTTCATAAAATATTCCATTCTTATTTAATGTAATTTCAAATTCCAAATTAAATAGAGGCTAAAATAGAAAATAGTGGTGTAGGGTACTGTCCTTTTTCACAGTATATACATACTCCCTTCCTTTCCCCCAATACTAATGGGTACAGGTGAGATACTCTCTTCTTTTTTTTTTTAAAGAAAATTTAGGTTATCATTGTTGTTCTTAGAGTTAGTGTTGTCATTCCATGACATTTTAACTTTATAAGGTAGACTGTATTTTATAGCTGAGATGCCCTTACTGAAAACAAAACTGAACGATGAGTATGATGAAAGATCTGGGTTGATAATATGATTTACATTTTTCTATCTGGTTAAAATTTTACTTTTCAACTTTTACAGTCCAGAGGCCCATGTACTTATATATCTCCTAAAGTTGTTACTTTAAATTAGTATATCTTTGCTTCATATAGGAAACCTATCATTCACTTGTATGCTTCAGTTTCAATAAAAGAAGTGTGACTTGTGTCTTACTGTAATGCTGTGTAACTTTGTGCTTTCTAACCTTTCAGCTTGCCTAAGGTAGTTAAAAGACGAGTGAATGCTCTCAAAAATCTTCAAGTTAAATGTGCACAGATAGAAGCCAAGTTCTATGAGGAAGTTCATGATCTTGAAAGAAAGTATGCTGTTCTCTATCAGCCTTTATTTGATAAGGTAATGCTTTTTACTGTTTCATTTTATTTATTTATGTAAAAATCAAGAAGGTAATAAAACTCTGGAAACAAAGTAGACCTCTCAGTAAGATAGTTATTACATGTATGAATTGGGGAAAACTATCAATAATAACATTTAAGTTGTGATATACATTAATTAGATCTATGAGTTATATATATATTATATATATATATAATATGTATATATATTAAGATTTTTTTATTTTTAGAGGGGGAGGGAGGGAGAAAGAGAGGAAGAGAAATGTCAATGTGTGGTTGCCCCTTGAGCGCCCCCTACTGGAGACTTAGCCTGCAACCCAGGCGTGTGCCCTGACTGGGAATGGAACTCATAACCCTTTGGTTCGCAGTATGGCGCTCAATAATCCACTGAGCCACACCAGCCAGGGCTCTATGGATTCTTAATGAGAAACAGTTTTTTGCTTGGATGTCAGTGTTTTTATGTAAACCATTTTTTAAATCATTTTAGCGATTTGAGATCATTAATGCAATTTATGAACCTACGGAAGAAGAATGTGAATGGAAACCAGATGAGGAAGATGAAATTTCGGTTGGTGCCAACTTTTAATTTAGTATGTTTTATACCTTGGAAATAAAAACTTTTCCTTTGAACTTGATGACATGCAGAGGATTGTTTGCTTTTTCAAGTGAAGAAATGGAGGCCTCTGAGTGACTTGCCTACAACTAATAATGGCAGAACACAAATCAGTGCTGTTAACATGACTCTCTTTCTCCAAAATTGCTATTTTAATGTTGGTTGGTTAACAGAATACAATATTTTGATTAAAAAACATTGATGAATGATTTTAAAACAGGAATTTAAAAAATTGGACAAGTTTTATATTTGTTTTGGTTTTCCTGTTTACTATGCTTAAAAGTCATTATTTTATAAAAGTAGATTTGGTATGGGTAACAGCAGTGGTTACGTAATTAGACTAGAACTATTAGGACTGAAAGTTGTAATTACTAATTGAGGGTTTGTTGGTTTCTATACTTATACCATTGCATTTAAATTAAGGGAATATATAATCTAAGGGTCTAATCTAAGTATTCAGTAACACATGCTGTTATTTATCAAGGAGGAATTGAAAGAAAAGGCCAAGATTGAAGATGAGAAAAAGGATGAAGAAAAACAAGACCCCAAGGGAATCCCCGAATTTTGGTTGACTGTTTTTAAGAATGTTGACTTGCTCAGTGATATGGTTCAGGTAATGTTATTCTTAAAAATGGCAGTTTACCTTAGAGAGTAAACCTTTGAAATATAAATGTCTGATGACTAGTCTCATCATTATTAATATTGTAGAATGATTGCCTTTTAAAGGAGCTGTTACGTATAGAGGCAGTATTGCAGCTTTGCTTAATATAACCAAATAAACTATTCACTTTCAAAAATTTGATAATGAAATGGTCCATTTGATAATTGCTCATTACTGTCTGTTCCTTTCTCATGGCTTTGTGCCTTATGTCTTAGATGCTTAGTGTGGTGGTAGGATGTGAAAGACTTAACAGTTTCAATTGTCTTATCCAGAAGATACTTCAGTCTGAAATTACTATTCCAAGGAACATTTGCATTTTAAAAGAATACTGTACATATCTTGAACTCGTTTATAATTGTCACTTTTTTGGGAAACATTGCCCCTCCTAATCAGAAACATTTTTTGAGCCACTACCATTTGTATTGTAGTCTTATTGCCTGATACAGTGATTGTTGGAAGTTAATGTCAAGAAACAAATCTCAAAACAATGACTGCTTATTGAATCTCTACGTTAGCCAAGTAGGAAAACATCAAGCAGATTGAAAGAAACAAAGAGCAGTAGTTATAAAAGCAAACATGCCTATGTTAGATTTGGCTTTTATATTCTTCATCCCAGTTAGTGTGGATAATGATGTTGTCCTTGCTACGTAAAACTTCATTCTAAAATGTTTCTTGTCCAGTAACAGAACACTAATTCTAAAATGCCACATTACTCATTTATTTATATATATATATATTTTTAATTTGAAGGAACATGATGAGCCTATTCTGAAGCACTTGAAAGATATTAAAGTGAAGTTCTCAGATGCTGGCCAGCCTATGGTAAAAACTTTGAAATACTTTTAATTTTGTAACGTTAAGTGTTTACAGATAAATAAATGGAAAGTTTTTAAAAAGATGTGACATTTGAGGGGGTGAGAAGAAATTAAAAATGATACTTGGTATACTTAATTGTTGGTAATGTGATATATAACATTTATTCTTTCTCCTACCTTTTAACTATTTTAAAAATATAGTCTATTCTTGATCCTGGATTAAAAATGGACTAAAAAATAGTATCAAAGATACATGAATAAGAAAATACTTTTTCTACATTAAAAGGCATATGTCTGGGAATTATATAAAACAAGATGTTAGAAGGCCCCTATTTCTCCATTATGAGAAATCAACCAACAGCTTGTCCCAAAAACCATCAATGGTATTATGTAAAGTATGGGCAAAGCTACTATAGGCTATAGATTCTTATATTGGCATGTAGTAAGGTTGGGCTTTTTCTTTGTCAAGCTCAGGATCTAGTCTAAGATTTACAAGTCATCTTCATGGGGATGGAGGGAGGAAGGGGGACTTGGTCAGTTTAAGCTTTATTTACTAAAGCATTGAAAATGGTGGTGTGGGAATTTAATTTGTTTTCATACTTTTTTTTTTAAGAGCTTTGTTTTAGAATTTCACTTTGAACCCAATGAGTATTTCACAAATGAAGTGTTGACAAAGACATATAGGATGAGGTCGGAACCAGATGATTCTGATCCCTTTTCTTTTGATGGACCAGAAATTATGGGTTGTACAGGGTGAGTTTTAATTTTACTATATTAATAGAACGCTACATGTTTTTGTTTTACTTGTGATTTGTGACATTGGTATTTTTCTAGTGTGTGTGCTTGATATATACATACATAGTTTATTTCTAAACAAATGTTTGAATAAAATGTTTTCTGAGAACTTAGCCATTTTCCTAGAATTTTTCTTGGCTGTGGGCTATTACAGATATTTCTCCAAAGGAAATGCACACTTTAATTTATTATATTGTAAATTTGTGGTAATTATGAATACATTTATTGAAAAAAATGTTTAGAAATAAATTTTTCTCCTTATATTGCTACAGAAAACATTTGGACCAGTTTTCCCTTCTAAGATTTGAAGTTAATATATTATTTATTTAGAAAAATCTTAGTTCTCCATGCAATTAAAAGTAATGTGTTAATTGTGACAGATTTTTTTTCCCTTCCTTTGTTTTGGAAGGTGCCAGATAGATTGGAAAAAAGGGAAGAATGTCACTTTGAAAACCATTAAAAAGAAGCAGAAACACAAGGGACGTGGGACAGTTCGTACTGTGACCAAAACAGTTTCCAATGATTCTTTCTTTAATTTTTTTGCTCCTCCTGAAGGTAAATATTGTTTTAGCTGGGGTATTTTTAGTTGTTTTGTAGTAAGTTTTGTTTAATTTTTTACTCATTTGAATTTCTCTTCTCAATTTTGCAGTTCCTGAGAGTGGTGACCTGGTAAGCTGAATTGTCATTTATTTAGTTATGGAATTGTTTCCTGTATGTGAAAATAAGATTGGTTTTGAAAAGTGTGTAGTGGAGTAGTTGATACTAGCATTTTGTCCTGAGCCTTGCAGTACATAGAGAAGGCCTTTATGGATCTGAAAGATTACACTCAGAATACTCCTGGTGCTTTCACTGAGAAATGCTGAAAAGCTAAGTTTTTTGTTGTTTTTCTTTTTTCTTTTGAGACTTGACAGATATTGCTGTGAGGGATTCAGGTTTTCAAGACTATATAGTTTTCCTCCTTATTAAAACTAGAACATACTTACGAAAACTTGAGATTCCTTCTATTATTCCACTTGGTGTTTTCAGTAACTAATACTTTAAAAGGAAAATTTTAGTCATATAACCAAGTTGCTTATTTATATTTTACTTTCAAACCATAAAAAATAAGCAATAACCAGCTCTAATTTTTATTTCCCAAAATTTCTCTGAGTATGTACACTTAATTTCAACTTAGTTTCTTTTTATTAGAAACCTTTAAATGACTATTTGATCATACCACGTGTAAGCTAGTTTAAAAATGATAGGAAGTTAAAAGTGAAATTGAGTTTCTTCATGATTTAAATCCCAGAGTTTTAAAACAAAGTTATTAAATTTTGTGCTTTTCTTTTTAAAATAGGATGATGATGCTGAAGCTATCCTTGCTGCAGACTTTGAAATTGGTCACTTTTTACGTGAGCGTATAATCCCAAGATCAGTGTTGTATTTTACTGGAGAAGCTATTGAAGATGATGATGATGATGTGAGTGAATCTGAATCCTGCAATAAAATTGGTGAGGGTATGATAGTCAGAATTGGCGAGGGGTTTAATGAATAGATGTAATTTTTAGAAAGCAAGACAGAATAATGCAATTAGGATAATTACTGATTTCCTGTAGATAACTTTCCTGAATTGTTTTAAGTAGGCCATCTTTGGGTCCATTTGTTGTAGGTTTTATTTTTCTGCTAATTGGAAGACTGGCTGAATTAGTGAAAATTATGTTTGCTTAGTATTGTAGATCTATTATGCTGTTGTTTTTAACCAAATAAAAGATACCAAGGACTTTTTAAAGTACTTGAGATAACCATATTAGGAAGCATAGAATTTTTATCCCAAGGAATATTACCTAATGATTAAGGTAAAATTAGGCTACCCTCAAAGGCTTGGGAGTCTTTATTGCTAAATGGCAATATTCAGAAGGACTTTGTATGCATTGTGTTTCACACATAAGTAGAGAAAAGTAATATTTACACCAATAGCTGCCCGAATCATATTTTATCCACAAGTGGTACTTTGCTCTGATTTTCTTCAAATGATAGATTTATATGGCACTGGGCTGAGTGATTCCTATAGCTATTGTTCTTTTAATTTATAGTCAGTCACTTCAGGGAAAGTATTTTTCCTCCTTTTAATTATTAATGGATACAATGATGAATGTAAATAATGCTGTTCTCCAAAGTTTGTTAGCTTCATTAAACTTGATCCTTTTTTCCTTTTTTAGTATGATGAAGAAGGTGAAGAAGCGGATGAGGTAATGTTTACCAAATGAGCAGATAATTCTTTCAAACACACTGAGAAGGAAATTGAGTGACTTATGTATTCCTTTGCTATAATCATTATTCTGTGATGTGTGGGATAAAATCATTTTTTGGAAAAATTACAATTTTAGAATCTACAGCCAAACAATGTATGTATAAGGTTTCAATAAATAAATTGCAAAACTCAGAATATTTTTTTTATTTCAAATAATTCTGTTCTGCTGCAGGGTTATCAGCTCTTTGAAGAAGTCAAAAGCTGCAGTAAACTTTTTCAACGTTGGCTGCAGTAAATCTTTTCAATAAAAGCTGTCTGGATGTCTCAAGTTGTGTTGGGAAATTTTTCATATTAGAAGCTTTCAAATTAAATTGCATTGCACCAAACTTTGTAATCATGAAATTCTTTTGACCTATAGCATAACTTGTGTTAAATTCTCCCTACGTTATGAGCCGTTTCTTGCTACTGTGTACCTACTTCATGGATGCATTTTGAACTTTAATATAGGAAGGGGAAGAAGAAGATGAGGAAAATGATCCAGACTATGACTCAAAGGTGAGCAAAATTAGTGCTGTTTTCTATTAAATTTAAATCAGGTTAAATAAGAGTTAGTGTATCTGAATACATCAAGTTTGATTTTGTACATTAAAGTCTAGCCCATTGAGAGAGAGAGAGAGAGTGTGTGTGTGTAATACCACTGGCATTTCAACAGTGTACATACTTTCTATGCTTCTCTCTAAGAAACTTTTATTTTTGGTTCTGACTATATTTTCCAGTTTCAGGCTAACTGAAGTCCTAGGATTCTATTTTAATGGCATGTTACCACGTACATTTTTTAAAATAGTGTTTTAGAAGTATTTTAAATTATAGCTATGGTTTTAGGTTGTTTCCTTCCAAAGGAAAGCTTATAAACAAAGGTCAGCTTTAAAAGCATCTGCATGCAGGAGTGCTTGGTTAGATTCTTTCAACCACCTCTCTTTTCCATCTCTGAATCCCAGTTTTATTCCTGGAACTTGTCATATCAGGATTAGTAAAGACCTTTCTTTACCTCCCCACAAAATACATCATACATTTTACCAGGATTCATTTGTAACTCTGGTTTCTCTTTAATACATTCATTCATTTGCTAAATGCTATAAAATATCCAGAAAATCACTTTAACCTAGCGAACAGGTAAGAGGGGATAGTTAAAAACAAATTTAATATTTTAACAAGTATGAATTACTCCTAACAGTTCAATTGTGAATGGAATGAGTATTTTTTTTTAATAACTGATCTATAAGAAAGCAAAAATATTGGGTACTATGACTAACCTCAATTGCCTAGTTATTTAATTTAATGAGATTATGGCTCAGTGTGTCTCAATTTATAGAGTTCATTCTACAGTTTAAATTTTGGGTTTATTTTGGCACTTTTGTTATCTGCTAATGTTTAAATAAATTAATTTGCCATCGTTGCTATAACCTGTCATTAATTTGGCAAAAGTTTTGACAGAGCAGTGAGATAATGTGATAATTAAGGTAGTTAATTGCTAATGAAAACTTAACTGAAGCAGGTAGAAAAAGATAGATTGACTTTTTGTTTTCCTTTAACAGAAGGATCAAAACCCAGCAGAGTGCAAGCAGCAGTGAAGCAGGATGTGTGTGGCCTTGAGGATAACCTGCACTGTAATAGCCTAAACACAACTATTATTTACTTACAGCCTTATGTTTTTGTATTTTCTTGGTAGACTCAGTATTTTTTTTTTTAAAGGAAAGGAATTGGTATTTTAAAAACAATTTTGTTCTACCTAGCATTTTAACTTTAGTTTTTCTGCCAGATATATTGAATGCAGAAATTCTCTCACACATTGTCATTCATCTACATAGTTTGGTTCTTCTGAGGTATTTTTTATCATGTAATTATTAGATTACAGCTACAAAAATAAAACAACTATTAAATGAAACAGATTTTTTGTTTTGCTATTTTTTTTCCTTGAAGAACCAAAGTATTTTTTCAGGTGGTAGTTCCATGGGTTTAAGTTTGCTTGTACTAGCTTTGCCCTTCATTACTTTGTTATAGAAATGCAGTGCCTATACTAAAACAATTTATCATTAATGAAAAAAAAACTTGTCAAGATAAGGCTATGGTTAAGAATTTCCAGTAAGAACACACATGTTAACCTAGGGGATTAATGGGTTTTTATATTTTAGGTGACATAGTTCACTGGAAAGAACCCTAACTCAGTAGTGTGATTATTGGTTACCATAGGGAGGTGAATAAAACCTAGTATTTTCAGAAGTTAAGCTTTATTATTTTAACTGTACTCTTAAACTTAACCTCATTAACTAAGCATCTTTTCTTTGTGGTAGGGTCTACCTTCTGCTTCCCTGGAAAGGATGAATTTTCATCATTTGACAAGTTCATTTCAAGTTTTATGTTGTTTGTTTGCTTGCTTGTTTTTGGTTTTGCAGCCTAAAATAAAAATGTCAAATATAATTTTAGTTCTCACAGATAATGTCTTAATTGTGTACTAATTCAGGCAGAAATAGAGCCCTAGCTTGACTTAAACATTATACTCAGTTTACCATCATACTGAAGAAAAGGGTGCCAACTTTGGAAGAGGTGTACTACATCTAGTAAGAAAGTGTAAAAAACAAAGACAAGTGATTTTTTTTTCTTTTTTTTTTTTTTTTTAAGAAAATTTAAGTTTTATTTCTTTTGGTTGAAACACAAGAGGGGCCCCGAGCCTCTATGGTTAATTCCAGTTCTTATTGTTTAAAGTATGAGCATGTTATTTACCCATGCTTTTGCTTACTATGTATTAAAATGGGTAGTACTGTTTACTTAACTACCTCATGTGTTAGGCATATTAAATTAAATTATATGAAATGTTTCTCAATCTTATTAAAAGCTTAAAATTTTGGACCTGTTTGCACCACAAGTATGATATTTAACCTTTTATTCTACCACAGTTTGATAAATAAACTAGAAAACAAAAGTTAAGTACTTTATTCTGGGATCTGGTCAGACAACGTTCTTTGTGTGGCTCCTATTTTAATAAAAATGGATGGATAGCCAATTATTTGAAAAGGTCCAAAGATTGTTTTAGGTATTTTAGTTATGACCATGTTGTAGAGATCATGGTACTAAAATAGAAATAAGACTGGGAGTGGGTGGAATGCCATTACATTTGAGGATTGTAGAGCCACATTTCAAATACCTCAGGCTAATTACTGTTAATTTTTTTTTGGTGAACTTAAAAGCTTTGGCAGTAAGCGTGGACTAATTGGATTGTAATTGTAGAACAGCTTAGTGTTTCTGCTCGTAATAAAATAACATTAGGTTCATCTTTAGAAGTAATAAAGCTTCCATTTTTGGAATGTGAATGAATACATTTTGTTATTTGTATAGTATTCTCTGTTTTACTCCTGAGATTTTAATTAACTACTGGAAATCCTTAACCAATTACAATAGTTTATAGGGGGAAAATGCCATGAAAACTCCTTATATTTTTCTTCCTCATTTTCAAAATGATATTGGTTGCTTTGATCAGGTATTCTGTGCTAATTTTTTTTTTTTTTTGTACCCATACTTCACTTGAACACAGCTGAACTTAAAAAATGTTAAAGATAGGGTCCCATTTTTAATGAACTGACAGTAGTAAAACCAGGTGGTGGGTTTTGTTTTTTTTTTTCTTTCTTTCTCCCTCCATTCCTTTAGGAAATAGCTATTGCCAAAGTGGGGGAGTAATGCCATTTTGTCTTGTTAGATAAGGATGTGGTTTGCAGAGGAATTGTTCTCTTAATGAAGTTGGGGTTTCAAAGGATATCAGTGTTCATCTTTGCCATCTCTCCAGTTCCAAAGTGGTTCTACCCCATTCAAGAAATTTCAAATATGTAATTGGAAATCCTTAATAAAATTTGCATTTAATTTTATAAAATGTACTGGTGATGATTTGGGTGGTTTTTTTTTTTTTAATGACTTTTTGTAAGAACAGAGAGTAGAGATGTTCAGAGTTGGATAGTCTATGCTTAGGCCATGGTGGCCTGTAAATTGGCATAATTTCAGAATATGAGCAACCTCCCAAAACCTGCTAAATGGAGTTTGTCATTGGAAGACTAGAAAGGAAGGAATTCCACAGTTCTACAGATTTTACTGATTTAACTGGAGATACTTTTTTGAGACACTTAAGATTTTTAGTTTATAGTTTTATGAAAGTAAAATTTATAGAATTTCTCAGAATTCTTAAATCTGAAGCAGTATTAGTATTTCTGAGAATAATTATGTAATTGGCATAGAATAGTAAATACTTAAGAAAATGGACTTTTTATCTCTACTTCAGTTTTTAGCTCATTTAATAACAGGTAGACATGAAAAGGAGACCTTAGCTTGAATAGAAATATTTTCATTATTTTGTGAATAGGTTTATGACATTGATTGGTACATAAGTCCTTTAAGATAATTGAATTAACTTTATATTACTGCTGCTTATAAGAGTGAATTCATTGGTTTGTGAAAACATTGTACTATGCAGAAACATTAATATTGGGGTATTTGAATGTTTGGTTTCAGGGCTTGGTTTAGCATTTGAGTCCATTTTATGTGTTGGTTAGTCTTACAAAAGTTTTGGCCTTTATATTTTTGACTGTTGAAGTCAAGCCAGATGTTACTATTTTATTTTCACAATTTAATCCAATTTAAAGTTTAAAATATACTCAAAGAATTATACAACAAAGAAGATAAAGGGGCACTGTTTGGTTTTGGAGCCTCTGTATCAGTTTCTAAATAATTTTGCCACCTATTGTAATATATAGATCCTTGTGCAAATAATCAATAGTAGATCCCAAAGTAGTCATATTGGGATCACACTTAGTGGAAATAGGGTGCCCCTGATAATAGTGGGGTTACTGAATGCAAAATAGGGGATGAAAGGGCATGTTTCACTTTAACTGTCATAGAAGACATCTCTTGCCAAAATTTCTCTGGGTCATAGCACCTATTGCTCATAAGTATCCCATAGTGAACTGGAAAGCTCACAATGGTTTGTGAACGATGATTAAATTAAGCCTTTGCCACTTCATATTGGCTCGGCAGAAACAAACCCCACAGACCTTACCCCCCCCCCCCGATTTAATTACATTATATGGTTCAATGTATATTAATTAGAGCCTTAAAAGATTGAAAGCAATTATACAGAACTTGAAGTGATTATTCCCGGTGATTCTTTTAACCAGAGTTACTTAAAATGGACAGAATAAATGGATAGGTTGAAGGAAGCGTATGTTCTTCATTTAGATTTTTTTATCTTCATTATTGGTAATTGTAAACAGTTTTGTTTTTTGAAAATATGTATTCATAATTTAGGTAATGTGCTACTTAAAGCACTAAGTTTCCAGTAGCTGAAAATTAAATGGTGAAATTGAGATTAATTTTTAGCTGTATAATGGTGATTTTTGTATGCAGGTTTAAAAATCCAGTTATTAACCCCATAACTTAGATAAAAAGCCAAGTTCTTGGACTTGGAATATGGTCATTCATATTTAATGAATGTGGGAATAAAATAGTTACCACATTGGACAGTACAATGGTTAAAAAGCCTTTGGAGTCCATCTACCACTTTGTTCGTTCATGCTCAGTGTTGTGATAAGTTGTGAAAGATTGGCTGTGCTGAGAACCTACTAGTACCTGGAGAGTACTTCAACCATGATATACATGTAATGAGCAGTCAGGAAATGGGCTTTCTAACATAAGAAAACGTAGAGTTTGTCATTGGGATCATCTTTTAAATTGATGCAGTTAATTTTAATTAGTTGGGGGGAGGGCTGGGGTGTTTTGTTGTTTTAAAGGTAAAATTGCTCCTTGCTAAGAGATGCCATACGTGGTGTGCAGAATGACACTGAAATTAAGTCTGCGCAATACACATTTTGTATGTGCTTGATATTGTAAAAAAGTAAGAAAATAATTGATGCCCTTAAAGTCAGTTTAAGAATCTAATTACTTTTTAAAACACACATTTTTATACATTGGTTTATTTTGCCTTTGGCTGAACCCAGACTGATTTAAGATAAAAGTAAATGAAGTCATAATTTGTCAGCCTATCCTGTATATCCCTGATACCTACATGGAGCCCTGGACACTGGGGAGGGACCATGAGGGGTGGATGATGAGAGGTGTCTGTCTTGAGGTCAAGTGATTTTCAGCTTGGATCAAGCCAGTCCATACATACAGTATGTGTTTCAAAACTAGAGACTGGGATCTGTTCTTTGCTGTTCAGTTGGCCTTGGTGAGTGGACCTAACCTTAAAAGCAAGTTGGATAGCAACAACTCAGCTTCTCTAACCTACATTTGCACTGTTTCAGCTCTGCTTCGTTGCCTTTTCATTCACTTCCTGCAACTGATCTTAGATCAAAGTAGTCACCTTTTCATTGAATTACTACCCACTCTTTTTGGTTCTTCAGTTCTGAACTGGTAAGTGTATAGCAAGTTTTTGCATGTGTAGATTACGTAGGACTTATTTGGACTCCTTCCAATATATAAGCCATAGTACTGTATGGGGCTATGCAACAAGGTAAGTAATTGATTCTCATTAGTTCAATCCCATAAGTCAACCAAGATATTCCAAGATCCTTTGTAGTAGTCACATCCATCCATAACTGAGTAGCTTACATTGAGGAAGTGGATAAAGGTAATTGTTTGTAAACTCAGTGGGACTATGGACAGTTTTTCATCAATAGTTGTTGCAGTTACCTAGCACTGCATAACATAAGCACTATCAAAACTTAAAGCATTGACAAGATTTATCAATCTTGATAAATCATTGTTTGGATACTTTATTTCCGCTCATCGTTGGCAGTGGCCAGCTTTTAATGGAGAGCAAATGAACTTAACTGAAAGCATTTCATATATAGGCAGTTGATGAAACAAGCTGGGATTGTCAGAGCACTACCTAGACATTGCCTCACA